TGCGGGAGAAGCGGTTGCTGTCCGGTAACAATTTCAAAAGGGCTCTTGTTTGTATGATGGCTCTTTTGAGAATTGAAACACAGTTGAGCAGCATCCAGGAGCTTCACCCAATGCTTCTGTGATCCGGTTGCGAAGTTGCGGAGATATTCCTCCAGCATGTCATCGAACCGGTCTGTCTGGCCATCCGATGGTGGATGGATGTCTGAGTTGTGACTCAATGTTGACCCAAAGCACCTGAAGAGATGGGCCAAAAGTTGCTAGTGAACGCCTACTAACAATGTTTTTGGGCAGGCCCCAATGTTTGACAATGTGCGAGAAGAAGAGTCGAGCTGTATCTTCTGCTGAGATGTTTTGCGGGGCTGCTATGAAAGTTGCATAGTCTGAGAACTGATCTATGACAACCATGATGGATGCAAGATTGCCAACTTGGGGCAATCTTGTGATGAATCTGATGGAAACACTTTCCCATGGTCTCTGAGGGACGTGTAATGGCTGCGAGGGTCCCGTCTGTGATGAGTGATCCGACTTGTCCTTGTGGCATGGCTGACAAGTCTTCACACGATGAGGAGCGTCACCAGTCTTTTGAGGCCGATGACATGATGGCTGATTGTTGCTGCGAAGGGTAGCCTGAACTAGGGGTTCATGTCTGTCGACTACCTTTTCCAACTGCATGGCCGAGATGTTTTCAGTGGCCATCTTTATGGGAAAACATGGTATGGTGCAGGGCTTGGCCCCGTTTTCTCCCATCATCAGGAGCATGTTGGCATATGGTACCGGTATAGTGTTGGTTTGCCTCATGAACTCCAAACCCACTATGATGTCGAAGTCATCTATGACTGCGATGCGCAGGTCGATGCTTCCTTTGTATGGGCCAAGTTTCACTGGGACATTTGTAGCTGTTCCACCCAATGTCTGAGGTGGTGAGTTGATAGCCTTGACGCGGCCTTTGCTCTTTTGTACCACAAGACCTAGGCGCTCTACTTGCGTTGATGACAAGTAGTTATGGGTGGCACCCGTGTCTATCAATGCGTGAAGGGGCTTGCCGTTCACTTTCAATTCGACGAACATTAGGGTCCTCGCTTGCTTAGGAGGTCCTTCGTCCATCTTTTCTTTCCCTTTCCTGGTGATCGGGACTGATGTTTTCTTAGGAGGACATGCACTGGTCCCCGCTAAGGCATGAGGGATAGAGCCAACAATTGCATTGAAGGCGCCTACCTGGTCGTCTTCTGATGTGTCTGATGCATCTGTCTCATCCTCGACAGTCTGATGAGCATTGACCTTGATGTTTGGGCATTCATTGTTCCAATGTGCCCCGCCGCAATGACGGCATTCTGAGGGAGGCTTTCTCCCCTGATTGTTGTTGATGGATGCAGCACTGTTGCTGTTGGAGGGAGGAGTCTTAGTTTTGGATGCACTCCGATCTCCCCCACTTTTGCTTGGGCCACCATTGCTGGGATGGTGCCCGTTGAATCCCCCTCGGACAGACGGCTGGGGCCTGTCGTTCTGAGTTCCCAAATGATAGTCGCCAAGGCATTCTGCAGCTTGAATGGCCTTGGGCAGGGTGTCTACCCGTTGTCGCTGTAGTTCCATACGGGCATGAGGTTTCAAACCTTCTATGAATGCGAAGAGTTTGTCTTTGTCCCCCATGTCGCGTATGTTTAGCATGAGTGCGGAGAATTCGCGCACGTACTCCCTCACTGATCTGGTGTGGCGGAGGTCCCGTAGCTTTCTCCTTGCGTTGTATTCCACATTTTCGGGAAAGAACTGCAGGCGTATGGCTACCTTCAATTCGTCCCATGTCTGAAGAGTATCTTCACCGGCCTTGATGGCTTCGTGTTTGACCCGCCACCAAAGTTTGGCATCGCCCTGAAGATACATGGCAGCAGTCGCTACCTTTTTGGATTCCTCCAAATGGCCCACGGCATCGAAGTATTGTTCGATGTCGAAGATGAAGTTTTCCACTTCTTTAGCATCCCGGGATCCGTCGTATGGCTTTGGCTCCGGTATCTTAAGCTTTTGTGGAATGGGGGTGAGGTTTGCTGCACCCCTGATGTGATGGTCGCCTTCTCGAAGTAGGCTCTGTAAGGCAGCATTGACAACGTTGAGCTTGTCTGTCAAGTCGTTTATGGTTTGCTGCATGGCAGTTAGTCTGTCTGCCTCATGTTGCTGATGGGCTAAATCGTCGGCACGCTCCTGTTGGAGGTCCTCAAATTTGCCATGAATATTGGCAGTTTCGATGGCTGCCGTTTGTCGGTCCTCGTCGGAGTCACGACTGATGTTTGCAATGTCATTTTCGGCCTGCCGCATTCGGCGGTCCAGGTCGTCCAACCTTTGCACTAGGTTGTTGCTTTGATCAGGCACCGTTTCTACGATGGGTCGTAATCGGTCAACCGTCTCTTCTAGGGATGCTAGACGCTCCCCATGATTCACCATGGTCAGAAATGGTGATGATGGCAAATGTTTTCCCTCGTCCGATGTCGAGCCTAGGCTCTGATACCAACTGTTACGCAACGCCTTCCTGATGATCTTTGGAAGGGCAACGTAAGGCTAAGCAACCGATGTCAGTGCGGTTGCTGTCCGCCAATGAGGTCCTCGCCGCACGCTAGACTAGATTGTCAGTGCCGTGCGGGAAAACCAATGTCGTGGGCAATTGCGGAAGCTTGAGAGAGAATTGGGTTTTGAATGCTGATGATGATTTTATTGATGACTGAAAATGATGATTACAATGATGTGGTGTCGAGGGGGAGAGACACCAGAAAATGCTGATTGAAATGTTTGATTGTTTGGTCCCCCTTAATAATGCTTAAAAAAAATAAACCAACATTACAAGACTAGTCCTAATAAAGCTGTAGAAGCACACTGAAATGAAAATGATGAAAACTAGTCTATGATTACAATGAAAAGGACTTAGATTATTACAAGGAAAAACTAAGTCCGATGGCAGCATCTTTGTCTTGCGGGTCTGCGCGCGCGTTGCTGTGGGCGCGCGCGACACTTGATGTGCTGGCCTGAGGCTGGGCACTGGTGCTTGGCATCAGGGTCTGTGCGCGAGGCGCTGCTGGAATGGGCCTGCAGCTGGGCGCTGGCGAGGCATCAGGATCTGCGCGCGCGGCATTGTCAGGGCGCGCGACGCTGTTGTCATTGGCCAGCCCTTGGGCGCTGGCGAGAGGCATCGGTGGGGCGACAGAGGCACATGCGCGCTTGTCACTTGGCGCAGCCAAGACCACGGGGCCGACCATGGCGCTAGGCATTGTGAGGCTTGCTAGGCCGCCATGGGGCGCGGCCAAGGGGTCATGGGGCATGTCTGGAAAGCAGCCCATGACATTCTCCCCCACCTGAGTTGGCGCCGTCCTCGGAGCCTTATGATGATGATGATGATGATGATGATGATGATGATGATGCTGGTTGGATGGGAGGTCTGCGCCCCTCTGTTCTGTGAGCTTGCTGTTGTAGCGAAGCAATGATTTCATGCGGCTGACATGGAAGACTGGATGGATCTTCCACCAGGATGGAGTTTTGACCTGGTATGTGGACTTCCCAATGCGTTTTTCAATGGGCAGGGGCCCGATGTATTTTTGTTGCAGGCGAGGGTCATGGGTCCTTTCTGCAAACAAGTACCGCTTTGGGATGCATAGCATTACTTTGTCCCCTGGTTGATGTTGGGCAAAGCAAAGATTTTGTTCGGTGAACCTTTTTGCCCGCTCTTGGGCCCTGATGAGATAGCTCCGCACTATCTCCATGTTGCGCTCCCATTCGCTCGAGAAGTTGGCAGCTCGAGGAGATTTCGGCATGGTTGATGCATTCACCGTTTGCGGGAGAAGCGGTTGCTGTCCGGTAACAATTTCAAAAGGGCTCTTGTTTGTATGATGGCTCTTTTGAGAATTGAAACACAGTTGAGCAGCATCCAGGAGCTTCACCCAATGCTTCTGTGATCCGGTTGCGAAGTTGCGGAGATATTCCTCCAGCATGTCATCGAACCGGTCTGTCTGGCCATCCGATGGTGGATGGATGTCTGTGTTGTGACTCAATGTTGACCCAAAGCACCTGAAGAGATGGGTCCAAAAGTTGCTAGTGAAGCGTGAGTCGCGCCTACTAACAATGTTTTTGGGCAGGCCCCAATGTTTGACAATGTGCGAGAAGAAGAGTCGAGCTGTATCTTCTGCTGAGATGTTTTGCGGGGCTGCTATGAAAGTTGCATAGTCTGAGAACTGATCTATGACAACCATGATGGATGCAAGATTGCCGACTTGGGGCAATCCCGTGATGAATCTGAGGGAAACACTTTCCCATGGTCTCTGAGGGACATGTAATGGCTGCGAGGGTCCCGGCTGTGATGAGTGATCCGACTTGTCCTTGTGGCATGGCTGACAAGTCTTCACACGATGATGAGCGTCACCAGTCTTTTGAGGCCGATGACATGATGGCTGATTGTTGCTGCGAAGGGTAGCCTGAACCTGAGGTTCATGTCTGTTGACTACCTTCTCCAACTGCATGGCCGAGATGTTTTCAGCGGCCATCTTTATGGGAAAGCATGGTATGGTGCAGGGCTTGGCCCCTTTTTCTCCCATCATCAGGAGCATGTTGGCAAATGGTACCGGAATGGTGTTGGTTTGCCTCATGAACTCTAAACCCACTATGATGTCGAAGTCATCTATGATTGCGATGCGCAGGTCGATGCTTCCTTTGTATGGGCCAAGTTTCACTGGGACATTTGTAGCTGTTCCACCCAATGTCTGAGGTGGTGAGTTGATAGCCTTGACGCGGCCTTTGCTCTTTTGTACCACAAGACCTAGGCGCTCTACTTGCGTTGATGACAAGTAGTTATGGGTGGCACCCGTGTCTATCAATGCGTGAAGGGGCTTGCCGTTCACTTTCAATTCGACGAACATTAGGGTCCTCGCTTGCTTAGGAGGTCCTTCGTCCATCTTTTCTTTCCCTTTCCTGGTGATCGGGACTGATGTTTTCTTAGGAGGACATGCACTGGTCCCCGCTAAGGCATGAGGGATAGAGCCAACAATTGCATTGAAGGCGCCTACCTGGTTGTCTTCAGATGTGTCTGATGCATCTGTCTCATCCTCGACAGTCTGATGAGCATTGACCTTGATGTTTGGGCATTCATTGTTCCAATGTGCCCCGCCGCAATGACGGCATTCTGAGGGAGGCTTTCTCCCCTGATTGTTGTTGATGGATGCAGCACTGTTGCTGTTGGAGGGAGGAGTCTTAGTTTTGGATGCACTCCGATCTCCCCCACTTTTGCTTGGGCCACCATTGCTGGGATGGTGCCCGTTGAATCCCCCTCGGACAGACGGCTGGGGCCTGTCGTTCTGAGTTCCCAAATGATAGTCGCCAAGGCATTCTGCAGCTTGAATGGCCTTGGGCAGGGTGTCTACCCGTTGTCGCTGTAGTTCCATACGGGCATGAGGTTTCAAACCTTCTATGAATGCGAAGAGTTTGTCTTTGTCCCCCATGTCGCGTATGTTTAGCATGAGTGCGGAGAATTCGCGCACGTACTCGCGCACTGATCTGGTGTGGCGGAGTTCTTGTAGCTTTCTCCTTGCATTGTATTCCACATTTTCGGGGAAGAGCTGCAGGCGTATGGCTACCTTCAATTCATCCCATGTCTGGAGAGTATCNAATGGGCCTGCAGCTGGGCGCTGGCGAGGCATCAGGATCTGCGCACGCGGCATTGTCAGGGCGCGCGGCGCTGTTGTTAATGGCCAGCCCTTGGGTGCTGGCGAGAGGCATCGGTGGGGCGACAAAGGCACATGAGCGCTTGTCACTTGGCGCAGCCAAGACCACGGGGCCGACCATGGCGCTAGGCATTGTGAGGCTTGCTAGGCCGCCATGGGGCGCGGCCAAGGGGTCATGGAGCGTGTCTGGAAAGCAGCCCATGACGGTATGTATGTATATGAGTGATGCTTTGCCTGAGGGGCTTGTTTTTATGAAATTACTATTTTCACTCCTCTTTATACTGAGCGTCTGTTAAAAATGTTGAACGGATGCTTTTAAACATCTTTCATTGAAACTGGAGTTTTTACGAGATGTTCGGAATTTAATCCCTGATTTGGCTTTGTTATTTCCACTGAAATTCTTATGTTACGAGATGTATATGATTCATGTTTGTCTGAGGTGTTGTATACGAACTATGTTTTGCCCAATGAGCTGATTTTGATTTTCATCACTTTTACTATAAATGGTACCGATAGCCCGAGTGGCTTGTGAGGTTGATGACTAAGAGAGGCCGAGGGTCCGATTGTGAGGTTGATGACTGAGAGAGGCCAAGGGCCTGGTTGTGAGGATTATATTTTTATGAATCGGGCTACACGCCGCAACAATATATATATATGCTATTAAGAGGAGTGAAAATAGTAATTTCATAAAAAAAGGGCCCCTCGGGCAAAACATGCTTTGCCCGAGGGGCTATTTTTTATGAAATTACTGTTTTCACTCCTCTTAATACTGAGCCTCTGTTGAAAATGTTGAACAGATGCTTTTAAACATCTTTCATTGAAATTGGAGTTTTTACGAGATGTATATGATTCATGTTTTCCCGAGGGGCTGTATACGAACTATGTTTTGTCCAAGGGGCTAATTTTGATTTTCATCACTTTTACTATAAACAGTATTGAACCTCTATTGAAATTGTTGGAAAGCATTTTCAAATGAGTTTTACCAAAAATTGGATTTTAAATGAGACAATTGACTCATATTCTGATTTGAAAGCATGTTGTACTTACTGAGTTTATCATGATGTGGATTTATCGTTTCCTACTGCTCATTCTTTATTTACTCTTATTACTTACTGAGTTGGCGTATTCACATTACTCTCTGTACCTTGTGTGCAGATCCAGGTATTTCTGAGCTCGGTGGCAGGTTTATCGGAGTTAGCAAGGTAGCTGTCTGGCGATCGCAGCCCTGCTTTTCTCCCTTATTATTCTCCCTTAGTGTATTTTTGTAATTTTTCCTGACCATGTTGGTCTTGAGGTTGTTAGACAGTTGTAGTAGATGCTCATGACTAGTGACACCCCAATGTCGGGCTTCTTTCTGCACTGTTGTTTAGTTTTAAACCCTATATAAAGGTTTATTATTAAATGGATTTGGAATTTATCCTAAGAATGGAGAAATACCGATTGGTTTTGGGTTGTGTCAGCTGGCATAGTTCCATGATAGGAGTCATCACGACTGGGTTTGTTTTGGGGTCGTGACAGATAATCTTAGTGTATCTGAAGTCAATAATAACATAAATCAAAAGGTTTATTATCCTGGATAGTGTTAAGCTGAAGAACTAAAAGAACATTATTGAAACCAATCCATGTGGAGACGATTTTATACTATAATTTCTTTGACTAGCAAGCCTACGTTTTGTACACCGGTTTTGCGCTCGTCAGTGGGAAACTAAAAAAAAAAAGATCAACAGAGTAGTGTTACCAAAATTTTTACTAAAGGAAGTCAAAAATTTAATGAAGTAAATATACAAAAAATTAAAGGCATTTAACACGCATTGTGTGTGTATGTATGTCTATATATATATATATATAGATAAATAGTATAATTTTTCGTCTGAGGGGTGTCAATTGGCATCCCTTGGAGCTATATAGCTCCGCCACTACTTGTGCTAGTGCTATGTAAACCATCAAATAAAATAGGGTAGTACTACCCCTTAGAGGCAGAGACGGAGCCAGGATTTGAAGTTTATGGGTTCGGGAATTCTAATCCTTTTAAGTTACTGGGTTCTAAATAAATAATTTATACATATTCAATGGATTTTTAAAGATAAATGTAGGGTTTTAACCAAAGCTACCGGGTTCGGCTGAACCCGTAAGAAACATGCTAGCTCCGCCCCTGCTTAGAGATATGTAACTCCGCCACTGCTTTTGCTTTTGCACCTGAATGCTGCATGTATTCAGCATCTTATTTTCAAATACTATAATATGTTATAAGATTATATTTTTTTAAAAATTTCTTTTTCTTTTAAATTTTATGTCGAATTAAACTATACATATAAAAAAAATTAGTAGCTCAATTGGTTAACTATCTGATAAACCTTTATCGTGTTTGTAAATATTCGATGCACTTCTTCCCCATTTCTCCTTTCTCCTCTTCGCTCTATCCATAATTTAACGAAAATAAAGTATAAGTTAAAATGGTGGGCTATTAATATATTAGGAAAGTGAGAAGGTTGAACACGACCGGGTCGCTGTTTCCGTCCAGCAGCTTGTCGTTTACATAAATGGTTCCCAAATATGCATTGCTAATATTTTCGGCGTGGCTGAACTTTTAAAGGGGCCTTGGCGTAAAGTTGATTCCATGTGATCGGGAGGTCACACATTCGAACCGTGAAAATAGTCTTTTATAGAAGTACATATTAAGACTTGCATATGATAGACCTTTGTGGTCCGGCCCTTCTTCGGACCCCGCGGATAACGGGAGATTAGTGCATTGTGCTGCCCTTTTTTTAATATTTTCAACGTGGTCTGTTTCCAAAAATAGCAGTTAATTTATCAACGTGATATTTTTTATGCATATCATAATTTATGTATAAAAAATCATTAGTATTGCAACAAATAGTAACTATGAACCCATAATTTAAAAATATAATGAATTTAATATTAAAAACATTCGATTATTAAACCAATAAAATTTAAATCCTAAATCCACCTTTGAACGTGATGGTTGTTTTTCAACCTTATCATGAGTATACTCACAACTCAATGTTAGCATCCTACCAAAAAGAGCGGTCTTTGTTTTATTTCTACACAAACATAGATTAGAGGCAGATTCAAGATATGACGTTTATAAGTTCTAAATTTGATATTTACGGATTCTTAATATATAATATTTAGTAAAATTTTCAACAAATATCTAGGCTTTGGAATAAGTTATCTGTTCTGGCGAACTCCTACTTTCATGCTAGTTCTGCCCCTGACAGAAACATATGCGAAATTTAATTTTGATGGACTAAACTCATTATATTTTAAAAATATTTGGTTTTAATATTTAATATTTTTCTTGAAATTTCAATAACTTTTATATGTGCAACTATGTTTCACCTTAAAGATAATTCAGTTGAACTCATAGTTAATAAACTCCATCCATCTCTATGCAAATTACTACTACTACAATAACAACAATCCAGTAAAATTTTGCAAGTAGAGCCTGCAAAGGGTATAGAGTGTGTACGCAGACCTTACCCCTACTCTCGAAGAGTAGAAAAATTATTTTCGATAGACTCTCAGCACAAAAATAATGCAAACTCTTCTTAGCATGGTGTCAGCTATCAATTGTAGATGTTTTTTGTTCTTTTATCCTTGTGTTTGACTTGTTAGATTAAAGAGGATGAGTTGGAAAATGTTTTCCGAAGGTTATCGAAGAAATTTAGTGTGTGGGCGTTTGGACATAAGAATTGTAAAATTCTGAAATAGCAACAGCAAAAATTCAAGTGAAAATAATATTTGAAAATTAGAGTTGCATTTGGACATGAATACAATTTTGCGGCTTTTTTGAATTTTATGAGTGATCTAAAATAAAAAAATTGAAAAACAACTTTTTAGAGTTTTTCAAATTTTTGAATAATTTATAATTCATCTTCAAGTGAAAATTGAAAATTTTATGGCCAAACACTGATTTTGGAAAAAAACAGTAAATTTTTTTCAAAAAAAGGTGAAAAAGAGTTTATGGCCAAACGGGCCCTTAGTTTCTTTTAGAGTATACAATCATAATTTAGAAGCAAACAAATAAATGGACATCAAATTGAATTCTGCCTAGTTAATAATGTAAATAGGCAATTGTGGGATCATTGACACAAAAAGATGTATATTAAACACCTAAAAAAGACATGCCTTATATATTTATAGAAGGAATGAAAGAATACACCAAGCTACCTTATTAATAAAGAAACATTTAAAAACAAAGAAATAAAAGAATAGTCTCTATTTTACATTTCGATTTCTCTTTACAAAATTGTAAGCCCTAAACGAGCTTGTCAATGAGAATTCACTTGTATAGTTGTATGTTTGACGTTACAATCTTGAATATTTATAAAGAGATCAAACACGCAACGCATTCTTAAATCAGAATGGTAGTTTACATTGATCTAGAAGCCGATAAATCTTGAAATTCTATAGGAATTTAAAATTTCCGTGGGACATCCGATAGAATTGGCTCAATACCAAAAAAAAAATTAATTAGCATGATTCATGCGCGAGAATGAGACGCACAAATCAGTAAATTTTATATGAAATTGTTAGCGTTGGTCATAATTTTCCATGAATCAAACCACATATCGTCACAAGAGCTCAAACACGAATATCCTGCCTACTTTGCTTTACATGATTAGACATCATGCCTAGAGGAAATAAAATAATCAAAGTTCAATTTGCATTGCAGTATATTCAAATCTGTCTCTTTAGAAATTATGCCTATAGGGTTCTTAACTGATTGATATGCTAGTGTCATACTTGTCCATTTAGTATGCATGCCTATAGGAACGATTGAGTAATTCTGACTATCTCACGTTGCTTGTCACTGCCTAACACTGCATAAATCACCTAGATATCATTCATATTTGTTTAATCGCTTACAACCTATAATCAACAGGCAACTACGTAGTCACTTAGAAATCGAATTAAAAATGGCTTTGCACATGAAACTATTTGCGCGTTCAAAATCCAGAATCACATAGAAATCA